ACACAAATCCATGGGACCCGATGTATCTACAGGTCCTGACAGAACTGGCAGATGAAGTTCAGAACATATTTGAGAAGTCATGGCAGTCTGGCGAAGTTCCCAGTGACTGGAAAGGGGAAACATAACCCTCATGTTTAAAAGGGGGGAAAAGGAATACCCCAGGAACACCTCTGTGCCTGGCAAAATCATGGAGCAGATCCCTCCTGTAAACTATGGTATGGCATATGGAAAATGAGGTGATGGGTGACAGCCAACATGGCGACGCTAAGGGGAAATTGTGCATGACAAGTCTGCTGCCCTTCTACAGCGGGGTTACGGTGGTGTTGGATATGGGGAGAGCAAGTGATGTCATTTACCTCAACTTGTGCTAAGTATTTGACACTGTCCCACACAACATCCTTGTCTCTAAACTGCAGAGACATGGATTTTACAGGTGGACTACTGGGTGGATAAGGAACTCAGGCTGCACTCAGAGTTGTGGTCAAAGGCTCAGTGTCTGAGTGGAGACCAGTGATGAGTGGCATTCCTCAGGGGTCAGTGTTAGGACCAGCACCATTTAACATCTTTAGCAGTGACATGGACAGTGGTATCCAGTGCACCCTCAGCAAGTTTGGCAATGACACCAAGCTGTGTGGCACCATCGACACACTGGAGGGAAGGGATGCCATCCAGAGGGACCTGGACAGGCTGGAGAGATGGGCCTGTGCCAAACTCAGGGAGTTCAATAAGGCCAAGTGCAAGGTCCTGCACCTGGGTCAGGTCAATCCCAAGCACAAGGACAGGCTGGGTGGCGGGCAGCCCTGAGGAGAAGGACTTGGGTGGGTTGACTGATGAGAAGCTCAACATGAGCTGGCAGTGTGCACGGACACGGACCTGTGGGAGCAAGTCCAGAGGAGGCCACGAAGATCATCAGAGGGCTGGAGCACCTCTCCTGTGAGGACACGCTGAGAACCTGGAGAACAGAAGGCTCCAGGGAGACCTTTTAGCACCTTCCACTACTTAAGTGGGCCAACAAGAAATCTGGAAAGAGACTTTTTACAAGGGGCTGTAGTGACAGGACAAGAGGTAAAGCGGGTGGATTTAGATTAGATATCAGGAACAAGTTCTTCCCAGAGAGGGTGGTGAGGCACTGGCACAGGTTGCCCAGAGAAACTGTGGATGCCCCATCCCTGGAAGTGTCCAAGGCCAGGCTGGATAAGGCTTGGAGCAACCTGGTCTAGTGGAAGGTGTCCCTGCCCATGGCAGGGAGGGGGGAACTAGATGATCTTTAAGGTCCCTTCCAACCCAAACCATTCTATGATTCTATGAATGTAAGTCCCTTCTTATACCACAGAAATATGGAGAATAAGAGGCAAGTATTACATCAAATAGTTTTGTTATTCTGAAGCTTTGAGAAAATATAAAATGATTGTGTAATTGTGATTTGTCATTTCACTTTTACCACCTTACAGGATTCTGCAAAATACTCCTTGTTGTGTAAAGCTGTTTAAAGATCAAATACAACATAAAAATGTTACAGTGTAACCAAAATAACCAAACGGAAAAAACACACAGCAGAACCCTGCAACTGTTCACACTGCAGAACTGATTCCACACTGACACTCTCCATAACCTAACTTCTACCCTCTCACATCCACTACTGTCCACATTTTCCTTGTTGTGGCAGCCTAAAACCAAGATGATTTTCTACTAGAAATAAGCAGCAGCCCGTTCTTTTATTTGCAAGATTCAGATCTGACTACATGCACACACAAGTATTTTTCAACAGTTCAGTGGTGCTCTTTTAGGTTTTTTCAAGACAATGAAATTCACAATTCAATTGAAAACAAAAACAGGATACAGAAAAATGTTAAAGAATGACATAGAGTCAAAACTAAGACATAGAGCTTTTCCTTATTCCCTTATTTTTCCACATTCGTTTTAAGCCAGAAGTTAGTCCACATATAAAAAGACAACAAAACCAAAACAGAATGCTCATCTTTTCACAGCACATGAATGCCAAGCTGGACAGTGGCAGTCAGCTTAAGGCATTCCAATTACTGAGAAAAGTAAGTTCATGAGCTGACAAGGAAGAGCCTACTGGCCTTTCAGTGGTTTATTTCTTCTCAGAAGTAGCACAGTTAACTGAAGAAGTTAACAGTTACAGAGTCAGAAAATACTAGTTATAGTCAATGTCTCAACTACACTGTATATAAATGAATATGCATTCTGGTTGGTTAACACTGTTGCTTGAAAGAAATTTTTGTTCCCTCATTTTTGCTGTTTTGAATAGCCAGATCTACAGTTTGTTTGTTTAGTTCCATCTGAACTGTGGTGTTCTGTCATGTTTTTGGTGTTGGTTTTTGTTTTCCAAAAAAAATTTTAATAAGCGATTCTTCCACTTCACCTGTTACACTAATCAAAAGCACAATCAGCAGAAGAGCTCTGAAATAACGAACAAAAACATTCAGTAAGTTGAGGGGGAAAAAGAGGCTGTAGGTAGGCACTTATCACCAACAGCACAACAACAATAGGCATCAAGCTCAGGATACAGAAATCTATTTGTACTATTCCAATTCTAAGACATTTGCAAGCAGTTTTGGTGTCAGAAGAAACCATACAAGTGTACTTACAAGGAAATCAGTTTTACACCTTAATTTATCCTAAAAGCGAAAATTCAATTGATCTGCTCAGTGCTGCAAATTCTAAGTCGTATAATTACGTCTTTAACCTAAGGCCATAATCCAATGTGCTTACTGGGAATTACACATACTCTTAGTGAAAGTATAAACCCCTCTCCTGAATTTCTGTAGTCTCTACTAATGATGCAGATACTTCCATCAATTTGGACACCTTGAACTGACATCTGTCTATCACAACAGAGATCTATTTTATCCCCAGAGTAGCTATCTTTCAGGCTCTCTGGACCTCAGTAGTATTTTCACTTACTGATTTAATCATTCATTTCCCATAGTTACAGCAAATGTTTAAGCATACATACCTAAACCTTTCTGTCCCGGATTCTTTGCAAAGTTGAAAGTAAACTGATAAAAATCCTTAAATCTTCCTGGCTCTTTTAATTCTTGTTCCATTTTAGGAATCTGGGCCTTCAGTTTTTCTATGCTGTCACATCTGCATTTAAAAAAGCATGTTTATTTGTGTATTAGTAATTTTTGCCATAAAATTTATAATTAAACAAAATTTAAAAAATCTTTGTGGAAAATAATACAGTTATCAAAACAAAATTCAGGAAGCCTTTAAATCAGTCTACACCTGTAACAAAAAAAATGAAATTGTTGTATTTCTTCACACTGCCATTTGCACATACGGATACACCAGACACTATAATCCACAAGTTTTAGAAAAACCTGATAAAGACTACTACATTCTGCTAAGGCAGAGAAAACCCAGGTATGCCAGACTGCAGAGCAACATCCTTGTCCTACCTACCTGAGTAGCCCTATGGCAATTAACCGAAACTCACGCACAACTAAAGGCAAGTAGCACTCAAAGCTGCTGCCCTGGTTTTGGTCATGAAGCATCTAGAACATAGACAGCAGATGCAGTTTTACAGAGGCAGACAAGTGATTTCAGACTTTGAAAAGTCTCTGAGGTTTGAAAGGCCACTGTGACTACAAGTTCCCCAAAACAGGGCTGTTTCACCATTCGTTCCAGATTCCGACACTGGCTCACACTGTCAGTGTCTAATACTTACTGCACACTTACCCTAGCTCAGTCATTCCGTCCATGAATTCCAGCTTTGAAAATTCACACTGTGTTGCAGCTCGGAATTTCCATGCAATGATGAGTACAGTAATGCTGGCTGGGTCCAGAGCTAGATCATCACAGAACTGCTGTATACCATCTATACCGATTTTATTTTCATCTTGAGGATCTTTGGGATACAAAAGTAAGTATCAAGAAAAACAGATTCTTGAAAAAGCTGATTTTTCAACAGGGGTATTTAAAATAAGCAAACCTGTTCAAGAAAACATTTTTGGGATCAGCCCTTATAAGTGAGTATTTTAAAATTAGTGTTTTCAATGGCTAAGCTCTAATAACCGAGGAAGTTACTACAATAAGGCCTCACATACAATGAGGCTTATGTTCTTTTCATTAAGACAAAAGCGCCACAAACATTTGTTTTCTGCCTAATAATATGCATAATATCCTGACTCATCCCACACAGAGAACAGTGGTCCTCTCCCACCAGCACACTTAATCACTGGCATCTTTGGTAAGACTGCTGCTCTGGGTACCATCATGAACAATTCCGCAGCGTCCATTCACAAGCTCTACTGAGTCAACTGTCGAATCTGCCTGTAATCTACTAAACTGACGTTAGTCTTGTGCATTTTCTGGCACCACCAGCACGCATGAGATTGGACATGGTAACCTCCAAGAGGGAAGTTACGTTGCCTCGTTACCAATTCCAAGTCAGCCAGTCACACTCCTCTTTCCACGAAGGAATCGACATCTGGTCTGGAAGCAAGATGCTCACATTTCAAGTGCACTAACAAAGATCTACTAACGCAAGCCAACAAAGACTTCAGGAAAATGGTATTTGGATTATGCACGCATATGAAAACTGACAGAAAATGTAGCACTTGGTTTTAGCCTTTTTTTTTTAAGTGCTAAAACACAGAAATCGTTCACTGTACTGAATCCACTTTGCTGTTTGTGGTAGGGCATCACCAGTTGAACACTGGCTATGTAACAGATGAAGAGACTTTGTTTTCTTTTCCACTGTTTGTAACCATCTGATAGTAAGCACAAGGTGAATAAAAATTAATGCAGAATCCACCTGTGGTATGCAACCTTTCACTCTGTCAGCAACAATTCCCGAGCAACGTGCTTTCACCAGAAGAATCACCTAAAATCCACGTTACCCATTACGTGTACTCACTGTACACACAATTCCAGTTCCAGACCCTAATCTTATATAAACGTACATATATTTAGAGCACATAAAGCAACCGCGTGTAATCCTTGTGAAGCGGAAGCATACATCTATTTCCCTTCTAACTTGTATTATTAGTAACAGCAAAACAAAGCTGAGAGAGTCAGTTAAGATTCCCAAGCACCAGAGCACAGCTTTCCTGATACACTGTCATTCAAAACACATGCATACAACTAGGAAATGGGCCTGAAAATTCAGTGTACTCACCTTTGTATCTGTTATATAGTTGTTCTAACTTCTTTCTGTCCAGTGATCCTTTAACACTCTCTCGTATATAAAGTTCAGGATTTTGGAAAAAGTTGTCTGTTGCAACATCTAACTTCCAGTCATTTTGAGACAGACAACTCACTGCTGTCTTTTCACTAGATTGTGTGAAGACCATAAACTGACGCACTTTATCCTTCTGCGATGATTTCAACTTGTTCTAGTAAAAACAGATAATACTGTCACTAGAAACATTTTACTGGACAGAAAAAGAAACAAAAAACAAAACACACACCATCAGTGTTAATGTTTTTAAATCAGTCCCTTTTATAATTTTGCCAAATGATTAGACTTTGTCTAACTGCAGGGGCAATCACGCACTCAAACCAACACTTATCTTCTCTCTTTTTTGGTGAAACTCACCTCCTGTCTAGGCACTTTACATTATAACAAAGCTGAGTTAAACCATCACAAAAATCCTGCTGGCAAAGCAAACAAAGAAATAAAAAATGAGTATTCTTAATGCATAATTGGAGAGAGAACTGACGGGCACAGCAAATTCATAGGCAGCAGCAAGATTTCTGTTTAAAACAATTCTTGGAGTTTTTTTTAGAAAAAAAAACCCCATTCTCCTGGTAATCTAAGAATGCTTCACCTACCCAAAAGGGCAATTAAGATGCCTACATAAAGCCCACGGCTACCCCAACACTTGGCAGATTAATTGCCTCAACAGATGCGGCAGACGAGCTGACCACCACTGAAGGAGCAGCTGGCATTATTCTGTCCCAGCTGACCAAGCTACCAAACTCCAGCTAGGGCAGGACCAGGCACAAGGCCACGCTGCCAGGAACAGGATCTCTTGATGGCAGCAAGGAACGAGGCTGGGTCTCCATTTCAGGGAGCTACACACTGAAATATCTCAAGAGTTTTTTGTTTGGGTTTGTGTTTTTTTTTTTTCCTTTCAGACTTTTCACTTTGAAGGTGCTCAACTCCACCTACACAATCTGCAGAGCATTCCTGTGAGGAGGCATTGTCTCCATTTCACAGGTGCAGCAACTGAAGCTAAAAAAAAAAATGGATAAGTAATTTCACCAGAGGCAGGCAGGGGAGTGAGTAGCCAAGGTGAGAACTCTGGAATTTCAGGCTTCCTGCCCAGACCAAGAGATACCTCTCTGCTCTAGCGCAGAACTGAATGGAGAACACGGTGCCAGCGATTCATCCGCACAGAGCGATTCCCAAGTACATCTGTGACGAGGAGGACTGCACTCAGTATTTCAAGGGTATCAGTTACACCAAACTGACTGCTGAGGAGGAGAAAGCAACCATACAGCTCACGCACTAAATCCAAATTCAGTTCTCAAGCTCAAAGCAAGACAACTCCTAACGTCACAACGTGGTAAATAAAGGTTCTGATTTTTAAGTCAGGATTGGATTTCTTACATGGCAGAAGTATTTCATTTGTGGTTTACCCTGAATTCTAACCAAGTCTTGTATATTCTGTTCCTTATTGTAATTTCCAAGTGCATGGCTCCTTCTCAGGGAGCATGGGGAAAAAAGGCCAAAAACACTCTCAAGATGGGATAAACTATCTTCAGCCAAAGGAGAAACGGTTTAGGAGCAGTATGAGCTCAAGCTCTTCATTCCAAAGGATAATTAGCGTCCAATCACATTATCATTAGAAAAGAGAAGTAACGCGCTAAAAATCAAAAATCAGCTGCTTGACAACACTAGTATTTGTATGAGTAGTTACCAGCTTCAGAGTTACTCCTTTAAAAAAATACAAGAGCAACCCATTTGGCTTAAACTGATATCCACACAATAAACAGGCCAATACGCTTTAAGATCCCTTAAAAAAAAACCAACCACCAAACAAACCACATTATACCTACAACACAGCCAAAATTTTAGCACACACTGCAGACGTAGATACAGTGCTATTGGTTAGGCTGTAGTACTTTTAAAGTTACAATGTGTTGCTGCTTTATTTCACTCTCTATTATGTTTCTCACATCAGACCTTTTGCTACAAACGTGTCTCTGAAACTGGGATTTTTTCAGAAGCAGTTCCAGGCAAAGGCCAAGCCATCAGGGCAGGTCCTGCAAAGATCCACTGCTGACAACGTGTGCGCTCTTCGGGTTCCACAGCAGAACGTCAGCACCTCACAATATTCCATAAAAATCACTCACACTGATAAAGCCATGTGGAATGACTTCCAAAAATGACTAATGCATTTCGAGTACCAGTTTTTAAAAATACATTGTAAACTCACATATATTAAAACAAACCACTGAATGAAATCCCAAATGAAGATGAAACAATCCCATGGCTAATTTTCTGTATAAATCACCGGCGTCTTCAAATCAGTTCCACACAGCCAGATGCTGCACCACCACCAACTCAACTGCTCTACAGGGCACAGTCAAACTCAGGACCTTAGCTTTTCTTTTTTTGGACAAAGTAGGTGCCTTTAATCACTAGTTTTGTGTTTGGTTGGGCTAACATATACACATAAGTATGCACAGCCCTTTGAATAGTGACTATTCTGTGTAAACCTCCAGAGGCTTTGTTCTGCCCTACTCTTGCAAGGGTGAACTCTGAAAGCCACGACATACAACAAAAACTCAAGGAACAGGTTTACAAGGGCTTCACCATGGATGCCCAAGACCACAAAAGGTAGTGGGTTTTGCATGTTGTCACATAAAAGGAGAATGCAATTTATTAGATCAAAAAACCTGCAGCTTAAATCACTTTTATGATAAAATTTAAATCCTATATATGCACAGGAGATCTTCCTGTGCTTGAGGCTCCCTAAGTGGTAGTAACAGTAAAAAAACCTTTTTAAAAAGAACACTGAATTTGCTGAGAGTCAAGCAACTAATGACACTGATCAGTACATTAAGATGCAATAAATCACAATGTTCAGCCATAATCTTTTTCTAGAACAACTACAGTTTTACTGGTCAAAAACGAGTTTATTTTTAGTGAAGAAGTGCCAAACCCTTTCTTTACATTTGATGAATGTTTCTGCAGGGGCTTGCCAACGAGGACGAGACACTCCACATCCTAAGTGACTGGACAACTCTTTGAAGGCTTACTATAGGACAGCAAGAGATGAAATTACTGCTGAGTTTTTATTATCCTATTATAGCTCTTCTTTCAACACATTAAAAACCCACACTTCAAGCAGAAGCAGGTTCCAAGCCTTCTGCACTTTTACGGGCTATTTCTAGAAGCTGAGCTCTAACAGTCTATTATTGTTTTAAGTGTGCACTACAGAAGCCAGAGCACCCTATAACCTTTAATCCTGTAGTCATCAGGCAACAAATACCTTCTACTGCAATCCATTTAAAACATCTCAACTTTAAGACTAGTTAAAATACACAAGTGAAAACCAATGCAGTAAATTCTATAGCAAGCCTTGCCCCTTGGGGTAAGGGGAAAAGCAAAAAGTCAGATCTGCAGGCCTTTGATCAAATACCTAAGCTACCTCTATAACGCTCATGTCCTAAGAGACAGGAGGTGAAGCTACTTTTAAAACACAGAATAACTTCCCTGAGTTAAAAGCTACATTGTGTAGATTTTCTTAAAAAAATCATAATTACATCTTTCCAATGAACATCTGGTGATATACTGTTAATCTTAAAATGAAAACTTGCCTCTCCCCGTCAAGTGCCAAATAACTCATCCCTGACAGTGACTAGTATCAGACATGTCTGTAAAAGATTAATAATTAAAAAATAAAAATTAAAAAACACCACACCTGTGGCTTTTTTTTACCCTCCCAGTATTTTTTTTCTGGCCTCAGACTGAAAGCCCTCCTGCCTAGGGGAGTAAGCTTTCCCAGTCTAGGGGAAAAAAAAAAAAGAATGCTAGAACCACTCTGCCAACATGGTTGTTTTTCCTTACCTTCTACACTCAATTTTTAGTCACCTCAGATTCAAAGATCAGCTCTGCACACTGGTCATCAATGTTTTCTGGCTTGCTAACAGCCATTTGAGGGCTCCACTCTCCTGGATAATGTCCATGGGAAACAACAGCAACCTTCGTCCCACACCACCTGGACTAGAGAGCTGAGGATTCCTACCAAAATCCTGTTCTTGGACTTTGCTCAAAGGTTGTACACGGCTGTCAGCTAGACAAGCAGTGCACGAACAGTGTGACGTATCCCTGCCCACAATTCCTTATGGCCCCCAAAGGCGGCATTCACACAGTTACTCCTTAACGAGTAACTCTTCACCTTTCCCTCCCCAGCCACTGCTTACAGGTGATCCGATTCCTGCTAGTTTCACCGCTAACGAAAGCAATTTGAAAGATGTGACATCTGTGCTTTTGTTTCAGTCAGGACTCAAAGAAAAGCCTGTTAAGTTCTCATGCATGTGACAGGTAAAAACCTTTTCTAAAATAGTATCAACCTCCACAAACTCTAGGCTTTCCTACCAACTGCTTTTAAACTCCAGCAAGGGATCTGGCTGCGGGAAGCACCCTCGTGCTCTCCCAGGACCCCAGGGACGTCAGTTCAAACAGAAAGCCTTCGGCCCGCAGGCAGAACGGGCTTGTGCGGGTAATAACCTCACAGATCACGACTGCCTGTTCTGTCGCATCTTTATGCACACGCTAATGGTCAAGAGAGTGTTGCTCCCCTACAGGGTCTGAATCACTCCGTGCTGGGCTCAATCATTAAAGGAACGTGCAAGACACCTGCAAATAACCTGGTTTACTGCTGGTATTCAATACATGGCTCAAGCTTAAAAGGCAAAATCGTGAGTATTTTTCTTTGTTAAGAAAACAAAAATTAATCATAACACCACAAGTCTGTGAATACAGTGAATTACACTGTAATCCATCAACTGTGACGGCATACGTGTACACTACCAAAAAATCATGAAATCCAAGTTAAAGATAAAAACAATTAAAGTAAATAATCAGTGTCTCTATAATGTAAACAAATAAGCCCTTCAACGACATTTTATTTTCTACAGCAGTCTTTGGACAAGAGGGCACACAAAGCAAGACCCTAAGGACATTTTTAAGCCTCCGTTTCAAACTGATGTGAAATCCATTTGTCTGCAGTACAACAGAACTAAACTTTAAAGTGTGCAAGGTTTGTTCAGATGTTCCAAGGGAAAAATCACAACTAACATAAAAATCCAAGCTGCTTTTTACACCCATTAATCATTTTAGTATTTGCATGTGGGCAGAAGTCTTTCACTGAAG